TGTATTTTCTAAAAAAGTTTAAACACAAGATTAAAACTCAATCTATTTTACTTAATATTGTTTAAAAAATTTAAACAAACCGATATATATTTACTAGGTTATATTACATTAGAGGTTAAGCGTCTATACCGCAATATAAGAACCATCACAAGGAATGTAGTAAACAGTATTGCCAACTCTAATGTGCCGGCTTCTACTAAAAACTTCATTAGATTCTTCCAGGGTATCAATCATGAAACTTTATCCCTAGAATGCAAAGTGAAAAGTGAAAACTATTTACCATTAAAATTAATAGAGAAATTTTTTACTTTTCACTTTTCATCTTAAGAATGAAGTTTCATGATTGATACTCAGGGTAATATGCGTGCAGCGTAACTTACGTAAGCCAATCAAATCGTCTCAATAGAATAAAGCGTAGTAGCTGATATAACTTGATACAATTTGATTGGTTGGCGTAAGTTAAAACGTATGTAAAAGCAGATTTAGTGCCTGCGCACAATAAAACAAATATTAGGAATAGGAATAAATATTAAGATTATGACCTATCAGATATCAGTTACATCGGAATACGCAGTTTCTTTCTAAGTTGAAATCTTAATATTTATTCCTAGGTCGATATTCAGTTCTTATATTCAAAATCATCTTAGTTCAGCCTTGAGGTGTTACGAACCAATTTAAAGGGCCGCATTAGCGTCTTAAGACATTACTTAAAACTTGCAGCACATGCTTATTTTTCTGCTGGATTGTTAGCTGGATTTTAATTTTGCTATCGTATTATTGGCTGCGGTGCTGTCAGTGTCAGTATCGCAGCTCATATGGTGGCAAGATTCTAATGCACAGTCTACAATGGGCAGTAAAACCGGTTCTACATTAGTAATTGCAAGCCGATCGCAAATTTATTGCCAATAGAAAGCGTTGATTTCAAAATACAAGCTTCAGATTGGCTGTCGCATAAACTTGCGTAATGTAATGTAGAATCGGCTTAACAGTAGTTGATTATTTTTCTCTCATTCAACTGTGATTAGTCGATTTCCACGCCTACTCCTTAATCCACTATTGTTATTGCCTATTGTAGACCATGCATAACGCGTGGTCTACAATACTAATAATATTAATATATTGATCAATCACAATTAAATGTAAAAAGAATAATCGACTGTGATTAGTCAAAAAAAAGGAACAGGGAACAGAGAATAAGAATTTCAACTTATCAAAAATCATGTATTGTGGAATATACAGTTTTTAATAGATTGAAATTCTTGTTCTTCGTTCCTTTTATTGTGCGGAGCCCCATAGAAATTGATTAATCAGTCGATTATTCTTTTTATCCTCTAATTCTTACAGCCTCATTCATTACTGATATTGTTATTGTAGACCATACATTATACAGCTAGCAATCCATCAGGAAATCAAGTATCTTATGCCGCAAGGCTTTACGGTCATCTTTGTACTTAGGTCCTTTCTCGGAAATGTGAAGTAAGTGAGTAACCAATCATCTTTCGATTTTGTTCTGTAAATTGATCGTACTAACTCGAAAATTTCAGGAGAAACTATTAGGCTTCGTTCAGAATTATCATTTGGATGCATCCAGATGTTCTTTTATCCATTAACGTTCGCGAACAAGGATAAACGACATCTGTGCATCTGGATGCATCTGGACAACTATTCTAAACGCAACTCTACTGTTGCTCTGAGTATCTATTATGGAACATAGGTTGCGTTCAGCGGATTCAACAGTGAATAAGCGCTCGCTGTTATTGATATATTTTTAAATCATCTAATCAGCATTTTAGATCTGGGTAATGATTATGTAACTTTTTTTGTTAGAGCGGAAAAATGAAAAATTTCTCCATTCAATAATAAAAATTTTCGTTTTTCACTTTTCATCCTAGGAAAAATGTTTCATGATTGATACTCTGATCTGATAGAAAACTACTGAGTTGGCAACACTGGTAGTAAATATAGGTGAGTATACGTTCTTCTTTGCTCAATAGATTTCTGAAAATATATAGATACATGATTTGCCTTTCCATTGTGCTTGGATGCAGAAAGTTCCTTGAGAACAGAGAAGTTGTTCATTCAAGAGAATTTCTGCGTGATTAGTTCCATCCAGATGCGCAATCGTTCATGGTGAGCTCTAGTCTAATTGGCTGGATGTTCTGTTAAATCCTAAAATATAGACCAATAAGATGAAAGAGTGATGAGCAGTTGTCAAATTCATTGTTCTGAACGCACTCATTATAGGTCTGTTCTTTTTAGCTGAACTTTGCACCAATTCCTCTTTCTTCCTTTTCTCTCCAGGAAGAAAAAAGAGGAAGAAAGATGAAACTAGTGCAAAAGTTAAGTTCTTCAAAAAGAACAATTCTTATATTTCTACTATTCTATGGTCGAAACGTGACCATCAAAATCTCGTTGTGCAATCATGCGATAGTTATATCGCTATTCAAGTACTCCAGAATTCGATTCGATTATAAGAAATAATATCGAAACTATTAGATGATCAGTAAATAAGCTTAAAGCTTAAAAGCTATTATGGCAAATTTGCAAATACAAAAAAGATTAATGCTAATATACATTAAAAAAAACAAAGAATAAAAAAAGAAAGAAACACACAACTTGGATAAACGCGTATGCAATCGGCAAATTTACAGGTCTATACAATATATACATATGAATGTAGATACATATCTACATATGTATCATCTATGTAGATACGTTATATACCTATGTGTGTTGTATAACATAATATCTTGCACGTATTCAACATAGACGCGCGCGTGCATACTCTTTTGGTTTATCTTTTTCTCTCTCGCTCTCGCTTTTCTCACTCTCACTGACTGTGCACGAGGAGGGAGAAGGGATTGAAGAGAAGGTGGAGGAGCGAGAGCGAAAGACGAGCGACGAGCAGAGCAAGGGCAAGCCGGAAAGCAGCGCGTACGTGCGGAAGAGTGGCAGTGTATGTCGGCGTAGAGCGAACGAGCGAGCGAGCGAGCGAACGAACTAGGCGAGAGCGTGTGCGGTGGTGTGTGGTGGTGGTTGGCGATTGGTGTGTGCCGTAGACAGACGGACGGACGGACGGTCGGTCGGTCGGTCGGTCGTTCGTTCGGTCGGTCGGTCGTTCGGTCGGTCGGTTGGCGGTCGGGCCGTGATTGTGTGGAAGGAAAAAACCGAAGAGAAAGTGCAAAATTTGCAGTGCACTGTGCTGGCTACGGTGTGAAAGAAGAATAGTTCGGTTTTTGTGTGGGGTCTGAAGAGGGAGATTATCGTCATCGCGCCGTCATATCTAAGGGGTCTCGCGCGCGCCTACGCGTGTTAGTAGTATCGAGGGATTTCCCATTTTTTCCTTCGTGTATATTTTATCTCTTCTTTATCTCATTCTCTGATTGCCGGGGACCCATCGATTTCAACACGTCAAAGGACGTACGACGCGTGAAAATCTAACCAAAAGAAGGGAACGTGTTACGAGAAGAGCAATGTCCGATCGGGAGAGCCTGGACGATCAACCGCAAAGTAAGAAACAATTCAGACGAAGCGTTATAACCGATGAGCCTTTTCTACATATATCCCTCTTCTTCTCTTTTTCGCTGCTGTTCTCGATCGCGAGAACAGCCGTTTTTTTTCTTTTTTTTTTTTTAATCATTCGCTCGCAACGGTGAATGGATCAAAAAGGAGTAAACCGCTAACGTAACTTCTTTTTCTTCCCCTCCGTCATCCCTGCTATGCTTAGTGCTTCTCGGTGCTACGGCGCGGCAGGTTCGTGCGTGTGCACACGTTAAACTCCAAGGGGAACGAATGAACGTTCATCTTGGAGTTTTTTGACAAATTCTCGCGCCTCCATTCCACTCGTCCACGAGGAGATCCGATCATACTCCAATCGTGGGGACGCGGTGTCCAATGAATCCCTCTACATCTGCGTGCATGCACAATCATTGTCTTTCGCATCTCCGCTGCCGGTTCTGTCAAGCGCCGCGCGAAAAGAATCGCTATTTTTCAACGGCATCCAGGATTCAAGATGGCCGGCTGCATGTCGGCCGAGAAGATAGCCCCTTTCACCCCGCTCTCTTACTCCGCGAGCCTCTCCCTGCCTCCTCGCTCTCCGTGCACGACGCGCGCACGCACGCGCACACGTCTACACGCGCGACGGATATCTTTTTTTCTCACGTATCGATATTTGCAACTTTCGATATATTCCTCTGCGTCGCAATGCCGGTCGGTTTTTCTTTCTTTTTTTTTACAGTCGATAGCAGATTAAGCCGAATTCTCGTTCCATTGTATGCACATACAGACACAGACAGACGGACAGACGTATGTATAAAACCGAAACTTCTGTACGATACACTAGGCCTGTTCTTTTTGACTAAACTTTTGCACCAGTTCATCTTTCATCCTCTTCTTTCCTCCTAGAGAGAAAAAAAAGAAAGATGAACTGGTATAAAAATTCGGTCAAAAAGAACAGGCCTTTACTGACAACGTCATTCCATCTTCGAAAGAGTATAGGTAAATATAATGCAATTCGGTTTCGATCCTATATTTACTTATCGGAGCAATACATGTATGTACACGAGAATACGCATGCATTGCACCCGGCCGCTTGAATTACGCTAACTACGTAAACGCAAACGATTGTCTCTCTCTTTTTTCTTCCTTCCGCATTGCGTAACGATTTTTGACCTCGACATGAAGAGAGATCGTTTAGTTACGATCCTACACTTCTCGTCTGTCAAAAATTCGAAACTTAATTTTTCTCTGTCTTCTTGGAGTTCTTTCACTTCGATTTATTTGCTGCATGTGCGCGCATCTTTTATGTTCCTAACCTCTCTTTCCAGTGAATACTGCTCCATATTGTTCCTTTCTTTCTGATTTCGGTCTTCATTCAATTAAATTAGACTGTGCCTGTTTCCACTAATGTAGATTAACTTTAATTCAAATTTACTTTTCTTTTTCTAATTTTTGGAACTAGAAAAAGATAAAGAATCGAGATTAAAATTAAACTACATTGGTAGAAACAGGCATTAGTGTTTCGGAGCTAAGAATATTCATATCTTGGCATAATTTCAACAATTTTATCAATTATTATTTAATAAATATACTTAAGCCATGTTTTTGTTAAGAAAAGGAAACAATAAATTTCAGAATGTTATTCGAATCATTAATATTATTAATTATAGAATAGGAAATATTATATTTTATAGTAATGTATACCTTTAAAAGATTATTAAATTATACCTGATCTAACTTTTCTTAATTATATGATTAAATTATTATATATAATATTGAATTGAAAATATCAAATTAATTAATTATTTACGATAATTATGATTTTTTATTTGCCTTACTACATTCTATATGTTTTTATCAATAATTAGCCTTGTGGATATTTTGTTTTTACCAGTATTTTTAACATTTAAAGTATTTTCGGCTATATAATATGAGAATGAAAATCATTCTCTTTTTAAAATTATTTAATATTATAGAATAAATATTAGTAATTCTTGCGTTGTCAAAATTAACAAAATTTAGTAATTTGTCTATAATTTGCCTTCTATATGATTTCATATTTATGACTTTAAATTTAATTTATGTTGTTTATTCGTAAACTCATATTTCATAATGAAAATAATCTTATGTTTACGTACTTTACATTTTATTGTGTATACACTCTGAAAGCAATCATTTTGTATTATCAATCTTTGTCTTATATAAATATAATTATACAGGATATATATTTACAAAGTTATTTTTAAACAGATCAAAGTTATTTTTAAACAGATCAAAGAAATGTTGATATTAGTAACGTTTATATAAATTCATGCATTTAACAAGTATAAACTATGTATTTCTATATTTATTTATATTTAATTTTTTTCTTTTTTTTCCAGATCTTTTATGATAAATGGGATGTGTTAAAAAAGCAAGCTCATCACTATTATGTTTTATTCAATCTTTATCATTCATTAGACATTCATGAGACAAGAATAGAATAGTGCTGATAGTGCTCTCCAAATAGTGTCTCTAAAAGTAAGAGTCTGGCTAATCTTCTAGTTTGATTAAAAATGTATGTGCACTTATACAACTATATAAGACGTTTTACATACCTGCTTTTCAATTTTTTCACGTGCTCAATCATCATCTAATTAATTTTTCATCAATCCAATAAAAAATAGAACAAGATTGGCCATACTCTTATTTCTTAGGGACACTGTTCCTCAAATACACTCGTAGAAAAATGTGTATTTGTTTGTCACTTGAAAGAAACAAAATTCAAAAACATTACAGAAATTCATTAGAAAACTTCATAAATTCTAAAATTGGAAATTGTAAAGACATTGATTGATGGAGCACATGAAATGCGACTAAATTCTTTTCTTTTAAGATCTTATTGATTTGATTTTTTTTTGTAATTTGTAAAGAACTGCATAGTTATATATTTTGTTAACACATTTTTTTTCAGAATTGATTTTTACTAAAATACAGTAAACACTCCACACAGTATTATCCCGCAAAAACAATAGCGTAATAAGCTTTAAGCCTTTAGGAGCTTAATTGACCAATCATAATTGATTATTCTTCTTATATTCGATTGTTATTGATCAATTTCTTAAGGCTTACTATTCTATTGTGTTTGTGGACTTACAAAAAAATGACGGTTGCATATATGTATATGTGTATTATATATATATATATATATATATA